GTAAAGGAGTCAATACCCTGTAGCGCAGCAAAAATAGAGAACGTTGAAGACTAGGTTGTCTATGTGTGTTGAGAGAGAGAAAGCGAGAGAACTTTTGAGCTGAGAAAAGCAGGTCATGAAAAAACAGCAGTTTTCCTCCATTCCTCTGGTTATTCTAAACAAGACTTTCTGTTTTCTATGAAACACAAAAAAACATATTCAAAGAATGTCTGAGCTGCTTTAATATGTATAAAATGCACCTAAACTTTGTGCATGAAGACAAGTTGCCGCTCTTGAAAATAAAGGTTCTTTAATGGCATTCATGGTTTAATAAAGACTCTTTAATATTCATGGCAACTTTTCACTCTATAAAAGGTTCTTTATAGTGGAAATGTTCTTCACAATAATAATAATAATAATAATGTTCTTTTAAGAAATGATCAAGAACTGATCTCTGAACGGATCTTTGAGGAACCAAAAAAATGAGGTAACACTTCAGTTTAGGGACCAATTCTCACTATTAACTAGCTGCTTATTAGCATGCATATTACTAGCATATTGGCTGTTTATTAGTACATATAAAGCACATATTAATGCCTTATTCTGCATGACTGTATTTTAGATCCCTTAATCCACCCCGTACCTAAACTTAACTATTACCTTACTAACTATTAACTATAATAAGCAGCAAATTAATAGTTTATTGCCACAAAAGTCATAGTTAATAGTGAATTTGTCCCCAAACTAAAGTGTGACCAAAATGGTTGTTTGGCATTGCTGTGAAAATTGAAATTATTTATTTATTTACCTAAAGCAGGGGTTGAACGACCTCTGATTTTTTGAAGTCGACTTTAATGTGATGAAAGTCGAGTCGAGGTCGACTAGTCGCTGATGACGTCATTAATGAACACATAAGTCTGGGGCTGTGATAAACACCTTGTGCACAGCTATGGCATATGACACAGCGCTGCCCACACGGCTATTGCTCCTATAACAGCTTTTTTATCAGTTCTTTTGTCTTTGGGTCGTTATATTTCTCACAGATTTCTGCTCGTTCTAAATCAGATACAGATAAAGTAGCACAGTAAAGATTACATTCATATGAATGCATTAGTGAGAGCGATTGCGTGTGTGAATTAATTCTACCTGGCAGCGTCTCTCTACTAGTGGTGAAGCTGTGGAATTTAGTTATTAAGAAATATATGCTTGAACTTTTCAGTTTCTAAGCTATTTTATTGAAAAATCACAGAACAGTGTTGACAATACATTTCCGCGCTGAATGATTCTGTGTGCGAGTGATGCTACTGTCTGTAGCCTGTGTGTGCGTTACAGTGCAGCAGCGCATTAGATTAGAACGCCGATTAACTTACCTGTACAATAAGCTGTTTAAAACGTGCATTCTCCCGTTCAATTTCGAGCATCCAGTAATATAATCACACATGTCTTGTGGAGCGCTTTCAGAGTATGCATTTATTTGTCATTTGAACTGTTTGGAAACGGAGCGTAAATGTGGAAGTCCTTCAAATATGTCTTATCCTGTTGCGCCCTCTATAGGACCAGCGACTAGTCCTATAGCTTGACAGTAACTGGTCAGTAAATATGTTCATTGTATTCTTCAAAACATCTTTTGTGTTGAATGGAAGAAGAAAATCATACTGGTTTGGAAATAGGTTGAGTAAATGATGGCAGAATGTTCATCCTTTTCAAAGCAGTGGAACGTTTTACTAAAGCAGCGAGTAAGACGTCAAATCGGCTCTCAAAGTATTAAGAAAACGGTCTAATTTTAATGCAAAGCGCGTAAAGGAGTCAATACCCTGTAGCGCAGCAAAAATAGAGAACGTTGAAGACTAGGTTGTCTATGTGTGTTGAGAGAGAGAAAGCGAGAGAACTTTTGAGCTGAGAAAAGCAGGTCATGAAAAAACAGCAGTTTTCCTCCATTCCTCTGGACGGGGTTTTAATGACTTCCAGACTGAAGGCAGCTCAGCCTCTGTTTCTCCTCTCCTCCTCTTATGGAGCGGATTCAGTCTCTGCGAACTGCTTGTACTTCAGCTCTGCTCTTACCCAACACTTCTGCAAGCCACACCACCTCTTTAGAGAAAGATAAATTATTTCAAAGCATGTAATTGGTTGTGACGAAGGAGTACAAACATTCCTTAAGTCCTAATGCTGCCTCATGAACCGCGCCATTGTATTCCAGGGCCAGATTTCAAGTAGCGAGTTAATTCTAATTACGTCTGTCTCCTTCCCCCACTCGCCCCATGATAAACTGACGGCACACTATTTGCTTAACGCATTTCTATTAGGCGGCCCTGCCAGAAAGGGTGCGAATGGAAAGATACTTCACACTCCCAGACATCACACACTAAGAGTCGAAAACTTTCACCCCAACCTGTGATTAGAGGCTGCTGTTGAACTGAATGTAAATCACGTGCAGTGCTAGGTAGCATCTTTTTTCAATAGTTACTGTAGAGCACTGCAGGGGTGACATATTTTTGTAAGCCAAAACCTGAGAACCTGAGTTCAAACTGTAGCACTTCCAGTCCCGTAGTCCTGAAGTCAATGGGTTTTTGGTTAAACGCCTGAAATGAGGTCTGTGGTTCACACAAGCTCAAGATGTTTTTTCATGTTTTATTCTACATAATTCAACATAAAATACATCAGCAATCCTTTTCTGTGACGTTTTAAAGCTTCATCACCGCAAACAGGTGAACTCATCTACTCACTAGTCAACTTTCACAGCCTCGTGTTTATAATCGCACTCTTGCAAACTATTCTACTCAAACTTTCAGAGAAAGTGTTTTTTTAAATAAAGACTGAAAGAGTTGTTGGAAGCTTAACGGTGGTGACGTTGGAGTCATGTGACAATAGTTCGTTTATAGCCTATGTTTAGCTTTGTATTTAGGCTTCAGAATTCATGTTTATTTGTGAAGATACCCTGTTGAAAAAAACAAGCCCTGGTTATGTTAAAGCATATGCTGGTTAGGTATGTTTTGACGCTGGGATGCTGGTTTAAGCTGGTCGTTTGCTGGTTTAAGATGGTCCTTTTGCTGGTTTATGCTGGTCATGTGCTGGCAAAGGACCAGCATAAACCAGAAAAAGGACCAGCATAAACCAGCAAAGGACCAGCTTAAACCAGCAAAGGACCAGCATAAACCAGCAAAGGACCAGCTTAAACCAGCATCCCAGCATCAAAACATACCTAACCAGTATATGCTGTTTTTTTCAACAGGGTTGCCATGATGAACAAAACGTGTAAGAATCACACATTTTTGCTATTGGGTTTTTGCTGAGGAAACCAGGGTGACACAAACTTACAGGCTGACCTAATACACCACCAATGCAGGCATCATTATGGGGCAAAAAGCATGTTTCTAAAACTGAACATTTTCAAACAATACAAATATCTAATCGACCACCAGACAGCATTCTGTAAGCAAATAAGGGAGTGAAAGAGTTTACGTACTGTATAGCACTTGTACATTAGGACGAATTAATGATGTATGTATAAAACAGACCTTTTGAGCATGTTCAATTGGGTAATGACACCTTATATGGAATTCTCTATTAACATACTGAAAATATCATCTGGCTTTCAGTGTCAGTATCTAATATATAAGGATTACAAATAAAATCAATTAAAATATACTATATATGTTGGGGGAAAAAAACAAAAAACAAACACTATTATATTCCTGTCAAACTGGGAAAAACAGACTAGTTGGGAGTGAGTACGCAGATAATAGAAAGTGGTTGTCCATCAGCTGAAGGCATTTCGCCATGTTAATTATAACGGTGATATAAATTTGTTGTGTTGCACCGAATATAGGAAATTGGAAAACAGGTCTGGTACTCGCAGTGTCCTCTTGATAGCATAAACAGATATAAGCAAGGCCACATGAAGTCAATGTCATTGGAACTGATCAGTCTAAACAAGAAGAGCGAATAAACAGGTGCTTCAGCTCAAAGTCATCTGGGAAACAGAATGACCACTCAGAGAAACCAAACATTGATACGTCCTATCAGAACCATGTAGCAGCTGTGCACAGCCTGTGGTGGGACTCAACTGCGCTCAGATTCCATAAAAATCTTTGTCTCAAATCACTACATTTCAACAGAAAAAAAGTATAAATGGCTGAAAGCTCATGATTATTTGATTAAAATTTTTTTTTAATGACAATATAGTTTGGTACCAGGAAAAAATATTATAATAATTTGTGTAAAAAGAACTGTAAACATAACTAAAAAACATGTAAATATAAAGAGACTTTGCACATGTTTTTGTCATGAAAACAACAAATTGGAGTTCAGACATTCTGCATTTTTCCTTTTTGCCTCACCACCATGTGGGCGTTTTAGCCCAGATACTTTTGTCTGAAAATATACACACTATTTTTTTAGGGATTCTCTTAAGACAAGTCAACAAACAATTCTCTTAACTGAAAAATTATTACATGTTGGATCAAATTACCTCAAAATTCAATCTTTTGTCATTGTACGCAGTGACTGCATGCATCAGGAAAATTTTGCAGTGCATAGAGCAGGTGTTTATGAAAGTGCTGTGGGGGGGGGGGGGGGGGGGGCAATATCTACAATTCAAAAACCTTCTAGAGCAACATCTACAATCTAAAAACCTTTGATTTAAGAAATCCATCCATTTTCCAATGGATTTTATGCTGGAACCTATCTGTAGGAAGGGCAACACACTCACACACCTATGGACAATTTAGTGCCTCCACTTTAGTGTCTTTGGATCATAGAGGAAACCAGAGCACCCAGAGGAAACCCACACCAACATGGGAGAACAAACTCACAATCATAAGGCCTCCAACTGGGACTCATACAGAGGACATATAGTATTCTTGGAAAATTCGATGCTTACAGAAGAAATGCAGAACTGCAGCGATGACCTGTACATACTGCACCAATTATCTGCAGGCCCTGTGAGACTATCGATGTACTCAAGGTTTAAAATGCAAATAACACCTCAAAGCAGCTGATGGCAGAGAAACAGTGATACATACAGACATCTGGGGCCTCATCCGATCCGTCCGGGCAGTCCTTCTCCCCGTCACACCGCCAACCTTTTGAGATGCACGTCACCTGATCACTGCAAACAAACTGCTTGGGGCTGCAGGTTTTTGGAGCTACAAAAAAGAAGAGGCAAAACAAATAATGAGTGAATGTGTCAACGCATTCAGCTATTAGCACTACAATCCAGAATTAAAAGAAATCAAACAGCCCATAAGAATGTTTGTGGTCTGGCCAGTGTTGTACGAGGACGCCAAGTACTGTCAGTTTACCGCTAGTTGCTGATGTCTGTTTCAAAACAAAATAATCGCAGCCAAGCCTATCTGCCCACCAGACTGTTTTTATCCAGCCTGGCCATTTCCCTTACAAGGCCGATGTCTGGCTTCTATTCTGGTCCAATACGGTTCAAAATAAACCGAAAAAAACCATTTAAAATCTACTCTAATAAAAGTCAATCAAAATGATCAACTGCTTACTTCCTCAATTGAATTAATCCCATTGTGATTTCAGAATTCAACATGAGTGAAAACAGGATGTTGTTGCATTATTGTCTAATAATTAACTGACTCTCCAAAACTAAACCTTGTCACTTTTTTATGTTTTATTTCTGTAACTAGACTGCAACAAAATACCCCGCACTGAAGCGTGTCATAGACGCTCTTCTTGAGAACTATTCACAGTATGAATTTAAATGTTAAAAATGCATAATTTTTAAATGTTGCACAAATGTTATGGAAAATGTAAAAAAAAAAAAAAACATTTTGCAACGCTATTTTACCTACCTGGTCTCATGGCAAAAACGTACCTGGGGACACTTTTTCGCGAGATGTGAAATACGTACCAATAAGTACATATCACTGCAGTTTCCAAAAGAAATGAACACTAGAGGCAGAACAACTCTGACACCTTTTACTCCTTTTCATACAAATGTACAGAGTTTCGAATAATAAAGCGCAATTTCTGCACAATTACTTGAAGAATATTATGTTATGACTTAGAGATTTGAAAACTGATGCTTTTGAATGTTAGCATCACACATATCCAGCTTCATATCTAAGGGTTTTCATCGACGGTAGGTTTGTTCGGTAGCTCACGGAGTACTTGAGAGGCGAGGAGCTCGAATCCCGTGTAACTACGGTTCGACAAAACAGTTCAAATCTGCATATAAGGAAGTTCAAATGGCACGGTTGCGTCAACAAATGTGTTTTTATATCAGTTTTGCATTTGTTAACATTATCGGGTAGGTTTAGAGTTGGGTTTGGTGTAGGGCATATTTCCAACACGATAGAGCAGGGGTCACCAGACTCGGTCCTGGAGGGCCGGTGTCCTGCAGAGTTTAGATCCAACCCTAATTAAACACACCTGAACCAGCTAATCAAGCTTATACTAGGTATACTTGAAACTTCCAGGCAGGTGTGTTGAGGCAAGTTGGCGCTAAACTCTGCAGGACACCGGCCCTCAAGGATCAAGTTTGGTGACCCATGCGATAGAGCATTAACTTTTAGCGACAGTCCCCTGATATTTGAATTCTGAACCGCCGCAATACGTGCCTGAAGCAACGTAATAAAAACACAGCAATACGTACCTATATCAACGTAATAAAAACATGCCAGGGTTGACGTATTGAACCCGTGTTTTAGCGTCACTCAGTGGACATTTCTCTTTGAAACTGCGGCAAAACGTGCAGTAAGGTACGTAAAAACAGTGTTACAGAAAAGTACCCAGAGGTATGTATTTTCACGAGACCAGGTTGTATTTTACATATGCAACCATTCAAAAGTTTGGGGTTGGCAAAGTTTTTTTTTTTTTATTAGTCTCTTATACTCACCAACAGTGTTGGGGAAAGTTACTTTTAAAAGTAATGCATTAAAATATTGCGTTACTCCATAAAAAAAAGAAACTAATTACAGCAATCTATACATTGGAAAAAAAAGTAACTTGCGTTACTTATTTGAAAAAGTAACTGAGATATTCTCTTGTAAATTAAAAAGTAATGCGTTCCTTTACTAGTTACTTGAAAAAAGTAATCTGATTACGTAACTCGTGTTACTTGTAATGCGTTACCCACAACACTGCTCCCCAAGGTTGTATTTATTTATACAATACAACAGTAATATTATGAAATATTATTACAATTTAAAATAACTGTTTTCTGTTTGAATGTAATGTACAATGTAATTTATTCCTGTGCAAAGGTGAATTTTCATAATAATTACTCCAGTTTTTAGTGTCACATGATCCTTTAGAAATCAGTCGTGCTGCTAAATAGTTTAGAGCTTTTTTCAGGAATCTCTGATGCGTAGAAAGTTCAAAACAGCCTTTACTTGAAACAAAAATATTTTGTAACATTTTAAATACCTTTCACTTTTGATCAGTTTAATGCACCCTTGCTGAATTAAAGGTAGTGTAAAATAAAGCAATAAGCTCCGTGAAGCCGTGGTTTACAGTGAATATATAACAGCTAAGGGGCGTTGTTAGGTACGACGCGAAACTACGGCTTCACGGGGCTTATTGCTTTTATAAAACGGTTATTCCTGATACGTAGTAAGGTTTCACAAAATAAAACAGAGCAAATAAAGTGTACTGATATTAACAAAAACAGTGTTCTTCCACCAAACAACGTAGCGCCTCAGAAACAGTTGTGGTTGCTACAAAGTGGCTGCAGAGTAACACACAAACGTAAACAAAGGTGTGTGTTTGTAGAGTAATTTACAACAGCGTCGAACGCGGCTCAGCCAATCAGAATCAAGGACCGGAACTATCAATTTTATAATACTCATTTTGCATTTTATTTTGAATTCAAATGTTGCCAGTTTTATGTTTCCACAACAGATGCTTTCCATAACACTTGCTTCTTTTTCTTGTTTAAGAAAAATGACCGTAAGCCATTATTTGATGTCAAGAATCCCCTCTCATAAGTGCAGTCAGGGAGGAGAAATGCTCTTTACTTTAACTACACAAACAGGACAGAAGCTAACATGACACTAAGCAAGCTGTCGAGCAAGCTGTGTTTTTTTTTTTTTTTTTATTTGACATGAAAAA